CCCCAAAACCCCAAAACCCCAAAACCCCAAAACCCCTGGAGAACCAGGCCAAGTTGAATTTATCTTCTTTATTAAATATAATTATGAAAGATGACTTTAAATTTTGAACACAGAAATTGTTCAACACTCCTTTTCTGTGATTAATACTCAAAGGTTTACAATAGCTTATTAACAGCAGCCTGAATAGGTTATCAGGCACTCTTTCAACTGATCTTTGTAAGCGTAGTAAGACCTCTTGGATGTATCTTTACTTTCTACTACGAAGTTAATGATTTTAATAAGATCTGGTTTGATACTTTTAATATTATGCTTCCAAGCTCCATGTCTCACTATCTCTTCTTGACCTGTCAATCAGTTAGCAGCCTTAGGGGGTTTTCATTTTTTGAAACATCTAAGTTAATGATGGAGCCCATAAAAAGAGATTATGTAGAATTAATGACAAATTGTGAGTCCAGAAATTAGATTGATGTTGTAATGTCCTACTCAAAATATTTGGAAGAAAATTTGGGAGATGAAATCCAAAGCCAATTTTTTATTATCAACATGATTTTATACCCAGAGAGCTCGATAACCAATGCTCTATACTCCAGTTCTATCATGAATGTTCCTAAAACATCTTCTAAAAAGAAATCATTTGTATTAGCATAGAAAATGATTTGAGGCAGAAAAGTAGAGCATCTTAGCAGCTATCCTTAAGAAAGCATTATCAAAAAATTCTGTATAAAATCTTAAGGAACAGAACAAAGCAAGATTCATTAGAGAGCCCAAGGTTGTCCTTGAATCATTAAAATTACTAGAGCAACATTTCTGATGGTATCCATACATACTACACAGAGAGTCATGAGCACATCTTCTATTTTGGATAAGTAACATACTAATCATAATTTCTTAAGTCTAAATAAGGAATTCGTCCTGTATATGCTCTATATCTTTACTTGTATAAATCCCTGGGCGCTAGGGGCTTCAGAAAGAGCTTCCCAAGCAATTTGGACTAAGAATTTCACTAAAGATTAATTAGTATTTAGAAGAAACCTTGAAATTCTCAGGTATCATAATATCTTTTCATTTAATCTCAGTATAAATCTAAGACTGTGTGCATGAGCAGAATCTTTATTCTTGGAAGTATGACAGTATGGTTTACGAATCCATCCATATGACTCATATTTTGATTCGAATTTCCTGTATTAAATTGCTCGTTCCTCCTCTTAAATTTATTCTCCATTTGCTCATGATTCGTTAAGATTATTATAAATTTCAATAAAAACTAATTTAAGGGGTTTTGGGGTTTTGGGGTTTTGGGGTTTTGGGG